CATTTACCCGTTTTTTCGATAAAGCGATCGTATAAACACCTAAACAATAGCTTTATAAAACCATTTATAACCAGTAATTTATAAAAGTATAATAAATACGTTTTAAGTTTGATTCTTTTTATTCGACGTTATACTTAAGCACCCTAGGTTAGAAGGCTATTTGCTAATTAAAACTATTAAATTTATTATGTAAAGGTTTTTACTTAAAGTGTTAAAAAAATGCAAAACGGAAAAGTAGGGCGGAAAACTTTTTAATCAGGACGGAACGGATATCTTTGCCGGGCGGCTTTCGGGGCTTATGGGAGCGTTAGAAACAGTAGATTGCAGGGGTGATAACGAACAAATAAAAGAGTTTAAGCTCGACTTTTATTTATAAGTTCCGGATAGTTGCGGACGGATTGCCATCGATATCGCCTTTTAAACGCGGTTTATTATTATTGGGTTGTTACCGATCGTGGAGGCAAAGTGTCATTGTCTCAGCTCAATAGCAGTCTCCTTGATGCCGCACGTCTCTCTCACCTAAAGACCGCGGGACGTGCTCTGGCGCCATGCGACCGGTTTCGTGCTGCCCAGCAGCTTGTCTGAGTGAAGGGAAGACGAGAGGGCAGACAGACAACAACACGTGTCTTCGCGCTTCACCGTCGCCCGATCACGATGCCTTCGCAGAGAGTGGTCGCACTTGCCGGGTCCTGGCCTATAGAGTAGGACAGCCAACGTCATTCCCAAAGAGGGTGCCACCAGAGCTCTGTTGGTATTTCCTTCAAAAGTGGCACCTGTCGCCTTCGCGCACACCCAGACAACAGTGCTCATACACCAGCAAGCACTAGCACATAAGGCCGCTCAGCAGAGCGATCGAAGGCAAGAACCACGGATGATGGCGAGGCCACGCGTTTGAATGGCTACCTAGGTAGACTCGAATAATCAGTGCCCATGCATCTTGCAACTCAGTTCAAGCGAGATGGAATTCCACCACGAGCATCGCTGCGGGCCGCCTATGACCCCAGGAGTCCTGCAATCACCGGCGCCGACAGTCTCAGAAGGGGACTTCCCTGCCAGGGGAGCGATGAGATGAGATACAGTGGTTACCCTAGTTATTACAAGTGATTCGGGCGGCCAGGAGATTTGCAATAACTAGAATATTTGCAGTTTCTAGAGCCCACGTGACCGGGACCTATAGTGAAAGCTAGCTTGGTTACCACTAAAATTTTGCTAGGAATTGAAGCTTTTTAATACTAATAGCAATATGGCCGCTTAATAATAATAAATAGCTATTTCTCTCGTTTGTATGTGAAGCTTAAAACCCGCTTTTTTTACCCGCTTCGTGGGGTTTTTTAGTATTGTAGTTGTTAACCCGCTGCAGGCGTGACTCTAGACTATAGACTTAAAGGTCTTAAATCTGCGGTTTTTAAGCCTTAGGCCACTTATAACTTAGTTTTGCGCCGCCTTTCCGACTTTAGCAAGTTATTAGGCATCGCTTTAACTGCTGAAAAAGTTTATTATAGGTAAATTTAGGAAAAAAGCCGTCTTTTTATAAAGTTTTTAGTATATTAAGGGACGGCTATAGTTACGGTTACGAGGCTTAGTAAGCGGTAGACTTTTTAGTAACGGGGAATATAAAAAACTTAGAGAGAGGGTTTTAGCTTTATATTTGCTGCTATTTTTACGGCTTAAACTATTTAGTTAAGTTTGCTTGTTTTACGTTATTAGCGATAGTATTACCGAGAGAGGTTTTTATTTTTTAAAGCAAAGCTAAGTTTTTATTATTAAAGGTTTTATTAACTTTTATTAGTAATAGTAACTTTATTAAGTTAATTAACCTTTTTTTTAAAGATATTATGTTAGGGATTTTTTATTATTTTTCGTGCTGTATTTCTTTAATATCTTTGTAGTTTAGCTTTTTAAAATATTTTTTAATAACTTGTTATAGTATTTTTATATCTGTTGTAGGCTTATCGGGAGGTTGGTCCTCGTTTTCAGGGTTAAAAAATTAGTTTATAATTATACGGTTTTTAACGTAAGCGGTAGCCTTCGTATATAACTTTAGGAGGTTAGCAAGTTATTATTTAAACGGCCCCGAAATTAGTTTTATATTTTTTAGCAATATAAACTTACGTTAATAATTATGTATAATTTTTAGCTTTAAAGTATTATAATAATGCTTAAATATTTAAATTATAGTCTCTTTTAAAGTTATAGAGGCGACGGGGTTTAAGTTAGCTTTTATATCGACTAAGGCACATATTTAGATTAAATATAACCTTTTATAGTACGCTTTTAGCGTGCAAATAATACCTATATCGCATAGTTAAAAGATTAAAATAACGTTAGGAGGGAAAAACTTTACGGTAATATTAAGTGGCGGAAAGGTAAAAGCGAGACTAGTAGCGTATGTAAAAAAGTTATTTAATAGTAATAATATTTTTTAGCCGGGTTTAGTCCTTTAGATATAGGCATAAAATATTAGTAGCTATTTTGTTATTAAAGCGCCGGTGAACTAAGTTTTTTTATTATAGCGCTAAGTAATGTTATGCCTTTTTTAATTAAAGTTACGAAAAGTATACGGCGTAGTAGCTTTACTAATAACTTAAAAAGTAAAACGATCCGTTTTTATATCGTTATTTATATATATTAAAAAAATGCGTGTTTTATTAAGCTTTTTCTTAAGGCGCTGTTTAATAATTAAGCCAGAAAAGGCGGTCCTTTTTTAATATAACTTAGTTTAGTTTATATTATAACGGTTATTAATAAAAGTTTTAGTAATAAGTTTTTAAATAAGCTTTATTTTAGTTATAGTCTCGGGTAAGCGGAGAGCGGCTTTAATAAAAGTACGCTTGCCGTGTGTTATGTAATATTTAACGCCGTATCGCTTTTAAAATAAGGAAAGCTACGTTTTGCTAAAGGTTAGAGGGTTAAAGGGAGGCTTGTTATTACGGGCAGCCGGGTAATTTATTTATATTCGTTATGCTTTTAAAAAGAAGGTTTTGCGAGAGGTGTTAATGCCCTAAACCTTTATTCCTACTTATTAACGCTTAAAGATATCTTTAAACATAGGCCATTTAGCTTAGGTAACGCGGGAGTGGCGGAGGCCGGGGCTATTACCGGAGAAAGCTTTAAGGTTAGTTACTATTAAATATTAGGAGATTTAGGATATAGTTAGGGGGAAGTTATATTATTATTAAAACTACTTTTTATAGCGCCGTTAATTAGGCTTTAAGCGGGTTGTTAAATGAAAATGGCGTAAGGCAAGGCGTTGTTTAATGGAGGCTTAATAGGAGGTGCGTTTTATAGGTATATTAAGTAGTTGTTGTTGTGGCGCACACCCGCACAGCCACAACCTGCACGGCCACGGCGGGTGGCTGGCAACGGAAGCGAAGGAAGGAACGCTTGGTCTGGCACCTGACAGAGGTCTGGCACCTGCCAAGGCTGGGGCACCTGTTGACAGCTGTATCATACGCTAGCCTATTTCGGAAGGGCTGCAGCCGCACCGCCTACTTGGGGCCTGCGCGACCTGCAGCTAGCCGACCTTCCTTTCCTTTGTTCTTCACCTTTAATATCAACGCAATTGGTAACAACTTCCCGAAGCCTTGCCTTCCCGATATTTGTGCCGTAGCAGTTGTTAAAGGTTGTTAAAGGTTGTTGGTAAAGGTTAGGGAAAGCTGTTTAAAGGGAGGTTGTAGTTACGGTGTTTTTAGTGCTGTGTGCTGTTAAAAACTATAGGTTAGGGTATTTAGGGCTTAGTTAAGGCGCAATTAACTAGAAAAAACCGAAGTTGTAGGTGTTTGGGGCTTAGTTGGGGCTTAGTTAGGGCCTAATTAACTAGAAAAAAGGAAAGGGGAAATGGTCCGCTGTATTAAAAGTTGACCCTTATTAATGTAAAAATTTGTTAATTGATTTGCAGTTTGCAGTTTATGTAGTAACTAGGGTATTTCTTATATAAAATTTCCCGGTATAGGCATTTATTTGTAATAATTAGCGGATTTGTAGTAAGTAGGGGTTGTAATAACTAGGGTAACCACTGTACCTTGTAGGAGGGTATTCATCAGCAACTGGATTACCCTGCCACGACTAGGCTAAGGGACAGTGCTCACAGAACTTGAATGTGCCAGTGATCACCTTATCCTATAGCGAAAGCCTCGAGGGATAATCTGATCACCTAGAACGCTCCCGGGGCAGGTCAACTTGTCACGGCCAGTCTGCCTCCCGAGTGTCGGGCAACGGGGCGCAAGCGATCCATAGGGCTCCGATGGATGACCTCCAGGTGAGTTACGCCAATGGCGTGGGATACTCGTCAATGGGGGGTATTGGTGTTTCGCTTCTCAAGGGAGGACCTGGAATATGAAAGAGCATTCTTCTCGGGGCTATCTTACCCTCGAAGGGCCTTGCATGACCTGTTCCCAAAGCCCTTGCTTCCCACTCTCGCCTTGAAAACGTACAAGGGGATACAATTGGGCTTGGATGTCGGCGACCTCGGGAGAACTCGCGCAACGTGACGTCGATCTATCGTAGAGTGTCACACGGTCACATAACATCAAAAAACGGCCAGCCACCCGACAGTGAAAGTCGGTTGGCAGAGTCGACGGCTGCGATCCGTATAGCGTCCCTTACCAGACGATTCAGTTCTCGTACAAGGGTCAGCTGCAGATGTGAAGCTCAGAGGGTTCCAAGTAGCAGTCCAAGCAGCAGCATTGGGGAAGCACATGAATGGAAGATGGAAAAAGTCAGCAACAGCGTAGGATGCCAACATTGCACAGCAAATGGCCAAAATGAAGGGGCCCACCAGAACCCGGAGACCCTGATGAATCAGACTAGCGCAGGAACGCTAGAGATCTTGGCAGGGCAATCGTTGCCAATCAGAAAGCAACCACTCCACAGAGCTTACCGGTGTGAGTCAAGGTCGTCCACCAGACAAGCCCAACATGAATTCCAAGCAAAATCTCTTCACCTGCCTTCGAGTTACACCGAAACAAAACAGAAATTCAGTTTCAAAATGCAAAAGTAAGGGGCTCAATCGGGGATCGAACCCGAGACCTCTCGCATAATCACATATGATCAGATTGATGCATATGCTTGCAAAGGGTGTTACCCTAAGCGAGAATCATACCACTAGACCATCGAGCCTTGATGTTGTTGGAGGGTGACTTTTTATGTTGGTATATATATGGGTGTAAACAGCGGACGAATCCCTGGGTGTGAATTCCCGGATAACTGCGGCTGGTAGGGCAGAATATGCAAATATCCGACTCTGCGACAATGCATTCCATGATTTCCTCTGCATCTCTGGGCCGTACCTACCTCGCCTGCCTGCCTCAGATACACAGATACACAGATACACAGCTTCTGCATGGCGCTTGTTGTCTCGTCAATTGCAAGGACCGAGGCTCTGACCATCGAGCCGGTCGTTGTTGAAAGCGTCCTCGGTTGTTTCATTCCAATCTCGCCGGAACACGCAAGGTGCGAGCCCTCACCGCCGTCTCTGCTGGACTGCATTCGATGCAACCTAGCCGAAGGACCACATGACAGCACCAGTCAGAATTCAGCGCGAGTACAATGGCGCTTTATCGCGGTGCGATCAAAGTAGCAAGACAGATGTTGGTTCTATTATGACTTGGTGACGACCAAATGCTTTCTATCTATCGATGATCATTAACTCGAGGCAGTAGCAATGAAGCCCTGCGAATGATAAGTAAGACTTGTGTAGCTCTGGGTTCTGCCAGGTGCTACGGGTATATCCAGTCTCCATCTCCTCATGAAGTTCCCAATTGTGATCTCCTCAATCAGACCACCTGAAGCTGATCGAATATACAGCTCGTTTAGACCTTGGACGGAGCAACGAACTCGTTGTTCTCCACTCCATTCTCGCTCTTCTCGCTGTAGGCCTTCTCAGGACCGTGACCGGCGCCGACAGCGTGGGCAGCCGTATCAATGAGACCGTAGCGGAGCGCTTCTTGCTCGATCTGCTCGTCCGTGAGGAGAGGGAGCTCTTCAGCAGCCTTGACGTACGAGATCTTGTCGACGTAGCCCTTGGCGAAGATGATGTCAATCTCCTCGAGAGACCGTTTGGCGGTCTCGGGGTAGAAGAACCAAATGACGGGGAAGAAGGTGGCGTTGACAACGGCGAAGAAGAGGTAGGTACCCCAGCCGATGTGGGTGATCATAATGGGGGTAACCATCACAACTTTGTCGCAAGTCAGCACTGCTCCCGTTCATGTTGTTCGCAGAAGACACTTACTCAAGAAGTTAAATAGCCAGTTAGTGCAGGTGGACACGGCGTTCGCCTTGGCTCGGGTCTTGATGGGGTTGACCTCGGCAGGGTACCTGCATGAAAGGATCAGTCACATGTTCCGAGGGCACTTCGAAGGAGGATGGTAGAGGATTAACTCACAGCCAGGGAAGAGGCAGCCACGAGGCACCGAAAGACGCAATGTAGGTGAATAGACCGACGGCGGCACCCTTGGATGCGGAGACGGTACCGGGGATGAGGCAGGCAAAGGTGATCACCATCGACAAGCACTGGCCGGCGGTACCCCACAGGAAAAGCTTGCGACGTCCGACGCGTTCAATGACAAACCAAGACGTGGTGGCGAAGATCGAGTAGACGATCATGTTGACACCGCCCATAAGCATGGCGAAGTTGTGCTCGCCCTTGGCAATGGACTTCTCGAAGAGAATGGGGAAGTAGTAGATGACGGCGTTGCAACCACCGATCTGCTGCATCAGCTGACTGCTGGAACCGAGCAGCATACGACGGAAGTGCTGCGTCTTGCCGCCGCTCAACAGGGCCTTAAAAGGAGTGCCGCTCTGGCCACCGAAACCAGACGCGCGGATGGAGTCAAGGATAATGTCCAATTCGAGCTGCGTCTCGGGACTGCTCAGCTCGTATCCACGCAGACCGGAGATGACCTTGTCGGCATCTTCATGACGCTCATGGAGAAGCAACCAACGAGGCGACTCGGGCAGGAAGCACATGGCGACGCAGAGAATGACACCGAAGACGATCTGGAAGGCAATAGGGAACCGCCAGACGAGGTCGGGGTTGCCGTAAGAGCAGCCATAGTCAATCCAGTAGGCGATCAGGGTTCCGAAGGCAATGACTCCACCCTCAATGCAAATGAGCAGACCACGGTTCGAAGTCTTACTGCATTCGGCTGGCAAGAGTTAGTTAACTATATGAGTTGATGATCAGTAGGGGATTGACAAACCTTGATAGGTGGGAATGGTCGAAGTGTTGATGCCGTTGCCTACACCGGTAACCACACGACCGACGATGAACTGAGCCAGAGCCTGGTGGTTGTTGTACGGGGTGCACTGAATCAAGGCGCCGAGGATCATGATAAAGGCACCAAGGATCATAGCCCTTCGTCTACCAAGAGCGTCACCGGCCCAGAGAATGAACATGGCGCCCGCTAAGCATCCAATCTCGTAGATGGCAGTGACGAGACCCTGCATGGTGGAGTTGTCCCTCGTCTCCTCGATGACATCGGCGAAAGCTGGGGCACTGATGATACCCGACATAACACCTTGATCGTAACCGAAGAGGAGGAAACCAGTCGTGGCCACCGCGGATACGGCCAGCGACAGTGGTCGGCCAGTGAGGCCCATGAATCTGGGGGGCGCCATGGTTGGGACTGCTCAGCGCTCTCTCATCGGAAGGTCAGAGGGAGAGGTTCGAAACTCGAGAGAGAAAATCGAAAAGGGAGAAGAAAGGACCTAGGTCAAACGGTACCCGACCAAGTTGAAGGAGAGGAGGGGATGGCGTATTTAAGACCGAGAGAGGTTGATCAACACCGCAGATCTGGGACCAGGCTGATGCAACGTTGGGGAGAACGGGGACTATTTAAGCTTCGCGTAACGTTGGGGGAACATAGTAGAGGCAGCCAGATAGGTAGCAAGGTAGCCAGGCGTATCCAGACAGTGTCATTACCTCGTGCCCTGACTGGCTTGATGGGGAAGATGTTTGCAAAACTGGAAACTGGTCCATGGGTTAGGAAGTTTTCCCTGCAGGTATTCCCCATCACGACAGGCAAGACAGGCGACGAGGCCCCTCCACATGCAACGAGCTACCTCCGCCTACAGCAACGGCGGCGAGCACGGGGTGGAACGGCGGCGTGCTGGAGAGGCAAATCTAGAGATAGCCGAGGACCGCCGCCAGGAGATTTGCCCCAAAGCAGCAGGACAGGCAAACAGGGACCCCGATGGCTTTAGGGAGACGCGGGGCAGGGGGACCATAAGTTGGTCGCGGAAGGCTCTCATTCGCCTGCCTTTAGACCGACGTTCCCTGTAGCAGTGTTTGTATGTGTTTGGTAGGTACCCTTGGTCTCTAGGAATGCGACCCGATTTCTTCCTTCTAGTTCCAGGTATCCTGCTGCTGCTGCTGCTGCAGACTCATGTATAGCAGAGCACATGATCATAAGACATCTGCGTGTCTGACCAGATGGCCCAACCTGACACAGGTAGAAGCTGTAAAAGATAGGCTTTGCTATAATCTGTGACCGAGCAGTAAGATGACCTCATCGTTGTCACGAGCCGCGGCCGGGGCCTGGCAAGCCTGGCCAACTCTGCCGTGCCGCGGCGGGAAGTAGGCCGAAAGAGGATATCCCAAGCTGGAAGAGGCCCGTGGAAGGTCGACAGGCGCAAGGGACTTGCGACATTCGAGCGGCATGCAGCGGGATGACTTGCAAGCTTGCCTCTCGTTTGCCCGCCCAGGCCCTCCCAGGCCTTGTTGACGGAGACTTGGGCAGACTTGGGCAGACCAGGGGCATGAAAGGGGGGCAACGGTTCGACGTCCGGCGTGCAGGAATGCTGCTAGCCCCGCCAAGTATAACCAATTTGAGCGGAAGGGGACCTAGCGCTGGGAATCCTGGCGCCTGGATGGCCTGGCGACCTGGAATCCGTGGTCTCTGCTGTGGTGTTCGTTTCTGTCGGTGTTTACCACCCTGCTGGGTGCAGTGCAGTGGCAAAGAAGATAGAAGGGTTTTTGTTGCCACGTGCTATATACTACGGCCGAACGCCGATTGCTCCAGGCTTGAATGAGTCGTCTACTCTCTCTAGATTTCCAATCTTGCCATGGTTGATGCCGGGCGCTTACAGAATCCGATGCTGACGGTCTCGGTTCGCGGTGTGCCTCGTGTGCCTGGCTTGTCTGAGTGAGATGCACGTCCAGCCGACAGGTGTTGTTGAAAGTAGTGGTTCGGTGGGTTCGCCTGCAAATTGAGGGTCGCGGCGCCGTGCGGAGGCAGGTCCTTGGCTGCCTGGGGAAGATTTGCAGCACCAAGCACTGGCGCTGAGCTTGACGAGCTTGATGAGCTTGACCACCTACTTGGCGGGCAAACGGGGCCCCCGCCTCAGGCGTCGTCTGGCGGTCAAGGCGTGTGGCACACCGTCCCTTGGTCCCTCCAGCGAACCCGACAGTGCTGTGGTGGTGGTGTGGGACAGTGGACTCACCGTGGCATCTGGGGGAAGTCAGGATCAGGACCCTTGCCGAGCTTCCGTTGGGGGCCGCCGTCAGCTGCATGCCAGCTTATGACAGCCGGACTTCGCTGCTGACAGTGCACACAGGGACCGCTGCATGGCGCCAGCAGCTGTCCACCAACTGCGCCACCTCCGCAGATTCGCTCCCCCGCCATGCCCGCTATTCATCTCCTCCTTTTCGGTTCTCCCTCGGTGCTTCTCCTCCGCAAAGCCCGCAAATGCAACGACAGGTTGACAAGCGTGGAGCTTTCTGGAGGTGAGATCTCTCTCCAATGTTTACACCGTCTGCGACTGTCTCTCGGAGATTCACAATTGTGGTGCGCGCGTGGCGTGGGCCATCGCACCCCAAGACCCCCCAGACAAGACCCCCAAGACCCCTTGGTCCTCGCGGCGCATCACGAACAGCCCTATGGAAAAAGACGTTGGATTCTTGGAAAGCATCGCGACAGTGAAGACACGCCAGCGTCCACCCATTCTTCCGAAGGATTCTCGCGACGTCATCAAGCAAGGACCGTTCAATTTCTATCACATGGAAAGCTGCATGGTTGCTTGATGCGCGCTGACCACCTCCATGCAAGGACATGGGGCCGGACAGAGCCCCGAGAGGCACGGAAGCTCGCTGCTTTCTATCCCTGGCACGCCCTGAAAAT